AATTTACACACAATCTCGTCGCTGCACTACTTCCATTTACGCCAGAATCCAGTTCCTAAATCTGGACCCTAATCTTGTCAGTCCTGCTGACACAGGTGTGTAAAGTCCAGGAGTCTGCCTCTACAAACCTCTGTGAAAGAAAGGATCCCTCTAAAGCAGGGGTAAGGAGCTCCAGGCCTCGAGGGCCGGTGTCCTGCAGGTTTTAGATCTCACCCTGGGTCAACACACCTGAATCAGATGATTAGTTCATTACCAGGCCTCTGGAGAACTTCAGGACATGTTCAGGAGGTCATTTAGCCATTTGAATCAGCTGCGATGGATCAAGGACACATCTGAAACCTGCAGGACACCGGCCCTCGAGGCCTGGAGCTCCCCACCCCTGCTCTAAAGAGTTCCCTAAATTTGTAACAGGACACTGTTGTTGCAACAAGTCAGCTCATGACATCTCTCCCCTGGTGTGACATTCAGATGAGCTGCTGTGATGTTATCAGTAACCACAGCAGTTCAGCCATGATGTTCCACGCCGAGCTCTGAGCGCCCGGTGAGTGGCGTCACCAACACTCCAAACCTAGCAGACAACAACGTGTTTTACAGCAGGATGTGATCGTGTAACTGTAATGTTTGACATCCTAACGTGGGAGTGAATGCAGAGTGGACCGGCCTCAGGTGGCTGTTAGAGGAACTGCAGAGGAGCAGGAGGCAGATAAACCGTGGGAGCACTCCCCGTCCATCACAGGCTAACCGGGCCCGGATCCACACCTGCAGTCATATTCGCCATCACGTGATTAACCTCTCACCCACGGGGCGCGCAGGTAAGCCATCTTTGATGTGAAAAGATGTGAACCCGTCCTTTAAATAACTTCATTTGCATTCTTTCATTAGAGCTCAGCTCTGGCTGATTTCGCCCCGGAGACATTTTTTTTCCTCAAACATATTTGTTCTCAGCTTGCTCTGCTCCGACTAATTAAGTGCAACACCCGTCTGTGGTTTCACGCTGTCTTTGACACCCACACAGCGGCTGCAGGTGGAGGTATCACTGCTGCGAAACGTCAGTCGGGGAAACAGTTTTTTTTTAAACGTCTGCTTTCTCTAAACGTGAAGACGGTCTGTGTTCGCTGCTGTGCAGAGCGGGAAGGAAAGGGTTACCCTGGACCAGTCAGGGAAGGGGGACGAGCCTGGAAGTGACAGCGCGATGAGCAGCAACACTTTGTTCTCTGTGTTAATGAGCTTTATGCTTCAGACTCTGTTTATTTTGCTAATATCGTTCTGCAGTGACTCGTGCTCGTTTAGCATTCCACTTTGTGATAATAATGACTCACATGTCAAGTGTTTGTTCCCTTTGTTGGAAAATAAAAACAGACCAGTGAACTGTCCATCAGCTGCGCTCATTGTGCAGGAAATCAGCGTCAGCCTGCAAACAGCAAACTCAATATTTCCCATTCAGAGTCGGAGAACAGGCGACGTTTCTCCACCGATGCTCATTAAGCCGAGAAGTAACCAAAATTCAGGGAAATCAGCCCCAAAAATGTTAATGAATGTGTGCTCCCGCTCCCTCGGTTATGTGAGCGCTGAATTCGTGGAGATGAATGCAGATTCTCCAGGTGGCTGCCATTAAACCGCTGACATTAAACATTAATACCGCTGCAGTCAGAGATCACGCTCAGAAATGTGGAAATCACGATGGAGAAAAACCAGCTTTTCTGTTTCATTTCGGTTTCCTCTGCTCTGGCGTTTAGTGCCAGCGCCATCGACAAACTCCGGTGTGGATGCTGTTCGACCTGCAAGATGAGAAAGTGTCGGGATTGATCCAGTCATGTTTGTCGTTTTGATTTTCTAACAAAAATACTTCCTGTTAGAAATTATGAGGCTCCTAATTAATGAAGACGACATGTCCAAGATGCTGATCGGCAGCACGTCCACACACAGCGTGACGAAGGTAAAACCAGCCTGTGTGTGTGACCCACAGACCAGTCTGCAGCAAGGTTATCAACGTTAGCTTCAATACCTGATAAATACAGTCAAAACCACCTGAAACTATTAAAATATACAGAAAAGGTCTTCAGTGAGTTTAAGGCTCCTTTGAGATTCTTGACTTCAAGGTTCCCGGGTCGGTCCAGGGTTTAGAGTGTTTGTGGAGTCAAGGTTTTCCTTTTAGATGGGATTCATGCTGAAGCTCCACAGCCCTCAGTCAGCACCGTAGGTTATGTTCCCTTACCTTTGTTAGTTCCCTGTTGTTCCCTCTCTGCTACTCTCATCTTTATCTGTAAAAGCTGACAGCTCACTTATGGAAGTCTCAGAGTGTGGACTGAAACAGCTGTGTTGTTGGTGTCACAGACCACCACCTCTTCAGTGAGGTTCGTTCCAGGTGAACCATTTAAATGTGAGTCACTATCCTGTCTGTGCACTGATGAGACAGGTGAAGGTGTCCTGGGGGTGTGGTTGTCCTCGCTGTGGCATGTGTCTGTGGAGTACTCTGCACCTGGATCACAGTCTCAGGTGTTTCCATGAACTCTTACTGTGGCCATGTGACCTTAAGTGTATCACAGTGAATTCCCACTGTGGTCCTGTGGGTCATGACGGTCCTGATTCACACTTTGGTTGATTGGACTCACCTGGTTGCAGGCTGGGTGAACGACTGTCAGCAGCACCTCTGCGTGGACGGCTCATACCCAGGACTCCTGATCAGCTGTTAGAGAGCTGACGCGTCTTCATGAACCACAAAGACGTCCATTTGACTTCTGACAGCCGCGATCACTACGAACCTGCAGACAGCTTTCATAAAATGTATTATATTAATGTGTAAATATGTTTGTAAATGTGTGTAAAGCAATATAACATAAAACCAAAAATGAAAACTAAAATGAGAAAATTTCCTCCAGAAAATAAACCGAAGACGAGGCAGGAGGCGGACTCACCTGAACCTCGTCCTGTGATTGTCTCACTGATGAAGTGCTGCGATTATTCTCTCTCATGTTTTTGTAATATTTGAATCAGAGGGCGTTTCAGCTCTAATAATAAACTTGGTTTTATATTCAGTTCACTTTAGCTTTAGTTTATGTACCTGTTTACCTTTATTCACTTGTTCTTTGTCCTTTGATCCATTTTCTTGCTGAAAGGATGGCGTCCATCCCTGCTGTCACGCCCTGCACAGCTCACCGGTCCATCACATGTATACATTTCTTTATTACAGCGTGACACAAAAACACACCAAAGTCTTACCTTTTTACTGCACACATCTCCAATCACATGATCTGGTCACACTGGAACATATAAAGAAACCTGACACGGATCAACGATCACTCCATGTCTGGTTTAGTTCATTAATAAGAAAACACAATAACGCTGCATTCACAGGCTCCTCGGATCATCGGGTTTCCACAGCTGTCTCTCTGTGTTTGTGTCATTTGTGTTGTTTTAAATGAACATGGATGTTACAAAGACGGCATGAGGAGTTTAATTGTTTACCTGACCTGTTATCGGGATTATTGTAACCACACAACCATTACTATTTCATAAATTAAATGTAGGCTAAGAAGACTGACGTACAGGGAACATCACCATTAGAGCTACTTTGTTTCCTCTGCAAAATGTAACTAGACCCATCACCACCAGGGGGCAGCATTTGACCACCTTTAACTTTTGATAGTCCCTCATTTCCTCATCAGGTTTTACCTTTTGCAGACTATCATCATCAATATCAATGTGTTTGTAATAATCTGTCCAGTTAAATAAAGGTTAAAGGTTAAAAAAATTCCCTTGTGGTAGAAAGTGGTATTACACAAAAGTACAGCTCAGACCAAGTTTAACTTCACCTGATATCTCTTCAGTACAGCGCACAGGTTAGTTGGACGTAAAGTCAAATTCTGTTCATAGTTTTGTTCATTTTAGAAAGTATAAAAAAATAATAATTTACAAAACAGTACTTTTAGTCAAAGTTTTCTTGTTAATAACTGAGTATTTGCATTCACCCACCATGTTTTGAGTCGGCAGCTGATTTTGTTTTTCTGTTTTGGAGATTTTTTATGAGAAATTTCCCAGTCACAAATTCAGTTTCCCAATTATTCCAATGCCACATGAATGCACAATTACACAAGCTGGCGATGACATGTTCTTTTCAGAGTGGAGGTGACTTTGAAAGCCTCCATCTGGAGCTGCAGCGGCTGTTGTTCGCTGTTTTGTAAAGCAGCGTTTTGCAGCCGTTTTGGCTCCGGTCCCTCTGAAAAGGTTTTGACTTTCTGCCTGAGACACAAAGTCAGCAAAGTCAGAGCGAGCAGGCCCGGAGCCAGAGCTCCTAACCTCCATATATCACACTCGGCAGCAGGCACTGCCAGCACAGTTTGGGAACACGAGGATAAAACCACACGCGACGCATCCTCTGAAACATTAGTGAGATTTATGCCTAATCTCCACAGATTTAATGGAAACTATGAAGGTAATCTCTGGTGGAGGTTGCTTTATGTCTGATAAACACAGACAGACAGCTGAGAGTGTTTGCAGGGAATTGATGCTGAGAATGAATCCTGATGTGTTGGTGGTCTTCCAGCTTTTTTTATCTCGCTCCATAACTGAATAAAAACATCGACTGCCTGACATATGATAACTTCCTAAACAATAAACCTTTTATTTTAATGCTGTCGCATGTTTTCATGCTGAACACTAATGAGCTGACAGTGAAGACGAACAGCTTTCTGCAGAAGATGCGAGCACTGCAGTGTGGCAGGGCTTCAGCGCTGCTGTGGATATTAAAGGCCCCTCAGCCTCAGCCAGCGCCTTCATGCCGAGGGAATTGTTCAGGAAGCTGCTCAGTATGTACCCATCGACCACATCCAGGTCACGCAGTCACCGGCTGGCTGTGCTCAGGTAGGAAAGCCAATGAGTACAGACAGAGATTTCAGGGGGATGCTGGGGACACAGCCGCCTCGTTAGTTAGAATACATGCATCCGTCCCTCCGTCGTGAACACAACACAAACAGCTGGATTCAGAAAAGCAGACATGAAGGCTCAGTCAAGGATTTTACTGACAAACTCAGAGTGTGCAGCAGGTTTCCTCACAGGCTGAGGAACACGAGTGAGCTTCCACTGCTATAATAACCTGGTAGAGCAGCCGCTCTCTTAAATACTGCAGGACGGCAACAAGTGATGAGGAGCAGGTGTGCCGCGCTCTCCTTAAACAGGCTGCGGTGCTGTTTTACTCCAACAGAGGGCCCTCTGCACAGTTCATGAAGCAGACGCCACCTCTAATGCACCGATTCGTCTCCACAGGCGCAAACTGGAGGTGCTGGAGTCATCACAGATCTTCAGATTTCATTTAAATACAGCGTCCTTCCCCCCACAGTCCAAACTGGTGGGTAACTGGTCACTCTGCATCACCTGTGGGTGTGGTTGTGTGTCTCTGTGTGACAGACTCCTGCAAATATTGAAACAAATCACACAGATGTGCAGAACAGCATGAAAAACCTGCAGACTCCATGATCACAAACAAATAGATGATTTCCTGAGCACGCTCTGAGAGCCGGCCGGGCCGCTCCATACTCCGTGTGTCACTCGTTTCAGTTCAGCTGTTATTAGTTCCTGATAGAGTCACAGTTACTTTAGTCTTTTTAATGACGATAACATGCAGCCTGTCTTTGGATAGAATAAATATTCCAACAGGAGCTCCTGTTTCAGTCGTAGTTTTCAGTTCCAGTAATACGTGTGATATTCACCACTGTTATATTCCTGTCGTACCTGCGAGGGTGCATGTGTAGTAACGTCTCCGTGGCCTCACGTTTACTGTCTCATGATAAAATCGGTGGTACTTGGACCGGAGCAGAGACATGGGAACCATTACCACAGATTTACAGATCCATGATGGTCCTGTTTGCTGTGTGTCAGCGTCAGACACCCGCAGGTTAAAGCTCCAGCAGCTTCAGTCATGAAGCTCATCACCATGAAACATTACAGACAACATTTGAAACAGCTCAGGTACCCTGGAGGCGAAGCTCGAGAGCCTAAGATGGCTTTGGACATGTGCAGAGGAAGGAAGTGCAGTCAAAGAAAGAAGAAGAAGAAGAAGAAGAAGAAGAAGTGTGACGGAAAAAAAACAAATTGGTCAAATTCTAAAGTTTGATAGTAGAAATTGAATTGAAGATAAAATGTCTTTGATTAGGTTTCGTACACGTATATGATGCAAATGTGAGCTGAAAATCTTTCATAGTCTCGTATGTTTTGGCTTCTGGGGTGAAATGAACACATTTCTCGATGCTCTCAGAGCACAGCACCTTCATCCTGCCCAGAAACATCTGACCGATGAGCAGCCCGAACGTCCTCGTGTGGTTTGCAGTGACGCGTGTCACATGATCAATGAGGGTCGACCACCCTGAGCATGACTATGAGGTTACCTGGGACTCTTCATCAGTTGTTCTAGACTTGAGGAAACCTCTGGATGGAGTGAAACACCTTTATGAACCAAAGGAAGTCCACTTACCTTCTTTTCATGTGGCCACACTTTCACCTGCTGCTCCAGGCAGTCGCCACAGACATGAAACCACATGCTGCCCGATGCCCTCGCTGGCACAACACAACCACCCCATTTATCCAGACTTGGGACCACAAGCTAACGAAGACCGAGCAAGTAATAAAAACAGAGAGAATAATATATATTCATGAATATGATCATTATTTGTGAACAACTGCAGGCCCTCTGGGTTTGTAAACAGCTTTTAATAAAATAATCTGCAACCTTTGCCAAACTCATGGAGTTTAAAACAGGGAATCAATGAACTGTGTGTGTGTGTGTGTGTGTGTGTGTGTGTGTGTGTGTCACGTTGTAGTCCAACTGTTCACTGTGTTTCTGTGTCTGTAGCACATGTGTGTGTGTAACATGTGTATAGCGTGTGTAGATTGTGTGTGAGTAACTTGTCTGTGTGTGTAGGTTGTGTAACCCTGAGACCGTCCACACCCTCGTCTCAGAGGTTTCTGGAGGAAAGCTGGTGCAGCTGGTGGAAGCGATGCTGAGTCACTGCTATTGATCGCATTAAGTGTGCGCTCGCACTGTAAAACTTAACCGGTCCTTTAACGGCACACTGAGAGCCGTCTGCAAGCATTTACGCTCATTTCCTCCATCCTCACTCTCACCAGGCTGTTTTTCACATTTTAATCAAACTATTAAGTGAGTGTTTGGTCATGCAGGAGATATCAGTGTGTTTGTTTCCTATTACTTCAACATAAGTTATTAATATAAACCCTGTAATTAGGCCCCATCACTTTTATGGTACAGTAAACTGACTGCCTGATGTTTAATCCACAGCCCTCACACAGACACACACTCACACACACACACACACACACACACACACACACACACACACACACACACACACACACGAGCTCCAAACCCATGCGTCTGTCATTCAGTTTTCTCCTGTAAGCTACATTATACTGTGGGCTGGTTTCCACCTCTAGGGCTCCATCAGATACCCGTGGTGAGAAAGCTACGCTCCTCCTGTTGGCTGGAAGAACAACAGTTGATTAAGTTGTTGGTTTACTCTACGGGTAACAGATTTTTGCTGTTTAGTCCAACAGTTTGGGTTTGTTTTAACAGCGTATTGCAATGTTTGCAGCTAGTTTAAAAAGTTAGACAGGTAGATGTCCTTATTTTAGTTTTCACTACTTTCCCATCCGTGGCTGTACATTAATGCCTTCAGGTATGTCAGGTGCTTTCTGTGTCACCCTGTTATCTGCACAATGTCTCTCTCTCTCTCACACACACTCTCTCTC